TGTACCAAACAAGCACCTAATAAGATACTTTTCCTTTTGAAATTTAATTGAATTACTATAACCAAACAATTTTGGACTATGTAATTTTCTTTAAGCAATTTTCTAGGATTTTAATAAATTCCGCAAATTATGATATAAATTGAGTTTAATTGACGCTATTCAATTTTATCTATTTTTTTGTATTTATTTCTTAAATAAAAATTAATGCCAGTACTCATAAGTTTAGAATTGTCTAGACTTGGGTTGATACAAAATTGTTCTAATTTTATCTACAAATATTTTTATTTTTATTAAATTCTTTTTGACCTTTTTATAAAACCCTAATATTTGTAAAATATCATCTTCAAATAAAATCAAAACAACAATGAAGATAAACAATGAGAACGAATATGTACAGACATAGAAATATATGAAGAAAAGTTTGAAAAAATAATGATTACTTTTTATCATCGGTTTGATGGATTTAGCATGTGAATGATTCTTAATTTGTGATTTGGCTATTCGATAATGTGCCTTTTTCGAATTTAAATAGCATCGATAAGAAATTTCATTTCGAATTATTTGAGATTTCTATTGGAATTATCTTATCTTTTCTTAATTTAAAACATTGATGACCATCTTTTCTGCTATGATTATCTAAACAAGAACTTGAGTTTTATATTGAGACTAGTTGGATGCCCGTGCAATGCACGGGCTTGCTTTCATTTCAAGGTAATGTTAGCGTGCTTGGTTGTCTTATATGCTAAAGGATTTTGGGAATCCTCCAAGAACAATTCAAAGTGGTTAACATAATTGTTTTATGTTTTGCTATTGTAAGGGTATAGAAAGAATTTCAATAATAGTAAAAATAGTTCTATATCATTGCGGTCATTGTACAAGTAATCATTGTTAGCACTTATATACATTTTGGAATACGAAAATGACGTACAAAGCAACTTTACTATGTCCAAAACATTAATGGATTACTGCGAAGTAAAACAAAGGGCAAAGATCATCCTAATGGTTATCGAGCAAAGATGAAGAACGGTACGTATTTGTGCCCATCCCAAGCTGTCTTCCTTTTTCCTTAGCAATTACCAATTGAACACCTGCAAAGATTCCTAATAATACTAACATGGTAAGGCATTCACGCTAATATTCTTAAAAATAAAAAATAATAAAATGGCACANGGTATGTGAATTAAATATAATTTATTGAATATCGTTTTTTATAAATTTATTGAATAATTTTTTATGTTGTTATTTATGTAGGAAGGCGGTCTAGCTGATCGAGGATAACTTCCGCCGAGGGTATCGTCACCACCATTGGCATCACCTCCGTGGGTCCTGATACTTGTGCATTATTTGTTAACCAATAAACAATGCTCGAGTTTGCATGTGATCATTTCGAAGAATTCCCACTTCACAAGTATGTTTTCGTGAATACTTGCGAATTACGAAACACTCATTTGTGTCCATCTTCGTTGCTCTCAAGCACCAATTGCAACTGTCGTCGACGCAGGCAACTGTCAACAATGACTTGTTTGATTTCTTTACCTTGAACTCAAAGTTATATTTTAATGTCAACCGGTGCACAACTTTCTACAAATCTTTCTTAGTTTCAAACAGTTGCTCAACATACAAGTCATCATCATCAGGAGCCACACGGGAAGGATTGGAGAACGATCCACTTGTTCCAACCTTTGAGCTCTCACCCGACTCATGTCTCTGTCAAGATAAAGCAATCAAAT